ATATAGTACAAAGAGATGTCAGCTCATGGGTGGGGACACTTACACATACTTCTAACAGATAGACTGCTACTACTGGAATACTAATTTGTTGTTCGTGCAGGATCACTTCTATTCTTGAGGTCAGCAGGAACTTGTGAGTAGATTTGCAAACTGATTTGAGCACAAATCATTGCGTGTCCCAAAATGTCTAACTGAAACACGTGGACTCAATGCTCTTAAAGGTCCTTCCCAATGAAAATGATTCTATGATTCTTCTCTGGATTAAAAGGCTTCACTGAGTTAAGCAGCAAGTGAAGAACAGAAGGCAGACACCCACAATCCTGCAATGGAAAATCCATCACCTCAGGCAATTTACCAAATATGCCAGCATTCTGCATATTGTCAGAGAAAGGGATAAGCTCATGAACAGGAACAAAGAAAGAGCTACCTAAATCCACAACGGATGGAAACTGGCAGTGAGTTAAATGGCCTCAGAAGGAATTACAATGCTACCAAATGTCACACACAGAGGTGGCTGGGAGCCCCTAGAAAACCAGAAAGGGCCCATGGCACCTCATCTAACATCTTAGTACTGTACCACAAAGTCTGAAATTAGTGAACTCTAGCTCTCAATAACAAGCCAAGCAGCTGCTCAGTTTGCAGGTGCTGGTGTTCAGTACACTGCTGCAGTCTTGCTGCAAGGGACAGGAGGGTTTGGAATAGCCCAGTCTCACTAAATGACAGAGGGGTTTTGGCCCCAAGCATCTGGGCAGCTAAGACTTGAGCTCATAATGAAGTAAAAGAATGCAAAATATGGGAGATGAGAAGGCAAGTGGATTAAAAACCAACAGCCTTCAAGAAGAAAGGCATTCTTCCACCTCTGAGCTGGTAAAAAAATTGCTGCCCAAATCGAGGCTGTTTGTGTTCATATTTTTTTTTTTAATATGAGTTAAAATGTAGGGACTTTTTCCCAATTCACCTCATTTATCTTTCTGCAACAGATTGCAGCAGCTTTGGAAACTGAGGCCACTTTGGTTTGAGAGCCAACATGATCAATATCAATCATTTAAATAATGCATTGTGACCAAAATGAATATTTTCAAACTTCAAAACAGTTTCATTATTAGTAAGAGACCACATTCTTAGTCAGAATCTCCCACTAAATCTAATCAGTAAATATACATCCTCTGCTGTTTACTTCTCACATTTTCTAGAGTACATGGGATTTTAGAAGAGGCAATTCAGCAACAGACCCTCAAAAAAGAAAATGCAAATGTTTCTCTTGAAATTTGGACTAAATTTAGCTTTGGGGACTAGAGAAGGTCACGGGGAAGGTAAGGTGAGAATCCTATGTCAAAGAAAATACTTCCCACAAGATAAATTCAGAGGCTTTCATTTGTATTAGCATTGATATTGAGAAAAGGTGACTACTCACTTTCTAAAAAGCAGATCCTTCAAAAGCGAAGTAGATTCAATAATATCAGGAGATAACTGGATGCATCTAAAAGTTACTAGTCAATTCTGAAAAAAAAAGCCAAACAAGCAACCTCTGTCTTTTACTTTGCAATGGAGTTCCCAGAATCTGATGCCCTCTTTCTTTCTCCATTGATAAAACTAGTTAATATGAATATAAAAAACAGCTGTTTCTCAAAGAATGCCCTTTCTTTAACCCTCAGTTTGAGGCAAAGAAAACCAGACTGTGAAACTGTGTGGCATCTGCTCAGAGAATGAAACCTGGTCAGTGGTTTTAAAATCCATCAAAATTTTTAGTCTAGCTTTAAAACTGCTACACAAAATGTCCAAAAAGTCAGACTTGAAATGCAAAGAGCAGCTTTTGCACTGAGAAACACCATGTATAATTAAATACAGCACAAATGTTTGCCATATATGGTACCATGCACCTGACTTGACCACTCATGTGACTTCCCTCTGTGCACTGCTGAACAACTGCTTGACCACAACCACCATTTCCCACTCCTCAGAAGTTTCTGGCAACCACAGAAACTTCTACCCATGTCTCACACAGAGAAAACCTGCAAGCCATTATAAAAAAAAAAGAAGATTTAAAAAAAGAGAGAATACAGGTATGTGTATATTTGCTTTTGCCTGTGTTTGAACCTGTGGGAGTTACCCACCATGGGTACAATCATGCCACCTAAAAGGTGGTGCAAGTAAGAGTAGAAGCTTGGCAGCTTTCAAGAGACACATATACATACATAAACTGCTGCTCTCCTCGTAACCAGCCAGGACACTATGGATGGAGAGGCGCTGAGAAGCAAAGAGGGCAACAAATGCACTGAGAAGTGCAGTGGTGTGCCCAAAACCTCAGCTCCAGATAGGGTGTCAGAAGTTATGAACTCTGGTCAGAGAACATGGCACTTCTGACCACTTAGGAACACAACCAAGTAATTTAAAAGCTTTTTCAGATGCCTCACCAGAAGAGAGAAGGCGGCTTTGGAAAAATCTAGAGCTAGAGAAGAGAATAAACTTTGAGTAACCCTTGTAATCGCCTAGCTTCCAGGAGTCGTGTTTTGGCAACCACATTGATGGTGCCCTGACACACACTTTTGCACAGCCACTCAAGAGGCTGCGACCTTCCTGAAGCTATTAAAAATGTCGGAAACCCCTGCTGATTCAACCTTAATTTCAACCTTACCTGCTCCTTAGAGGTAACTCTCCTACTCTTCTAATTTTTAAGTACTTGTGCAACTAGACAGATGATGCTTATAAGTCCTTATTTCTACTCTTGTCCAAATAAGGAATTACTGTCAGTATGGAAAAGGCTGGTTTTGTTGAAAATTAACTGGAATTTTATATGACTAACTTCAAGAAAGCTGGGGTTTGGCTGGCTGAGAAGACTAAAAGCCTAACTCACAAACTACCTACCCAGCAGTGAACCCAGCTGGATTAATTTGTCTCCTAGAATTCCTGCTAATGATTCATCTCCAAAAGCTCTGAAGACCCCTGAAATTCGTAGTTCTGTGGCCTCAGAGATAGAGAGGAGCCACCCAAATAGTGCCAGTCCCAGCTGTGCTGTAGGACTGGGTTTCCTGATGCTGTGGGCTGCACCTTCCTCAAAGGTGCCTTCAAGCAACTTGGATGAAGAATAGGGCAAGGTCACGGTGATTTGGGCATCTGTGTTCTCTGCTTTAGGCACCTCTGCTCCCTGCTCTTCTCCCATGGCTGCAAGGACAGGATAAAGTGTGGGATAAAAACACAGCAGCTGAAGAGTCTGTTAACAGCTGCAGGGTAACTGCCGGGCTTTGACATACAGTGCCTTATGTTCATGGAGAGTACAAATAGTGATGTGCATCTTCCTTTTTGTCTGAAAAATGCAAGCCTGTGTTCTGACTCATGCTCTGACAAGTGCCATTACCAGCACAGCTGAAGAAGACTGCAGGCAATCACCTGGTTCACTCAGAGCACACACTTAACAGATTATTTTTCACACATATGTGTCAAAACCCAGAAGGGTAGGTAGCTGTCCTTTATCCTCAGAACTCACCAAATTCACTGAAAATCATGAGATGCCATGGCAAATCTATTCAGAGATTCCTGTTACTTGGCTTTGAGCTTGTAGGTTTACCCTTTAACCACACACTTTCCTTACACACACTGGAAGGGAAACAAACATTCCTTTAAAAGGAAAGCTGAAGAGTTTTGAGGGTAAAACCACCTATTAGTCAGTCCACTCAGAGAACAGCGATGCTGCCACATACCAATTTAGGTGCTTCAAAACCAGGTTTTTTATTTACTCAGTTATTTAAGTCAGGTCTGAGATTTGCTTCATCAAGGGAGTCAGTCATAAACCCTGGTACTCTGTGGGGGAAAATGCATGTCAAAAACTGAAGTACTTTCTGCATTCGTGCTCCATATTTTGATGTGTTATGACAAGAGTCTGCAATGTCTGCATTACTTGCCAGCCCTTTCTGGTGGATAGCTGCCAATGAGCTGCCCAAAAAACTTCTAACAGTGCCTACTGTTCTTGTGTTTTGTCTTTTGATACAAGATTTTTTCTCTAGGTTTACAGATGACAATTGCCTGCACCATATTTCTAACACTGCACATGAGCTGGCAAAAATTATTGACCTATGGTGAATCAATTCAACAGAGAAATATTTCTTTTCCTCACTCCTTCATCCCCATAGTGAACCCTCCTCAATAATATATGATGGAGCAAAAGGCGCTTACAACTGAAGTGGAAAATTTTTAAACCTAACTGCTATTAAGAAGTCCAAAGAAGAAGAATGGAGTTTATATGAACAAAGAACGTTTTAGAAACACAGTTAATCAGATTAATGACCGTTTTGGATGAAGCATTGCTTCTCAATAAATAGTTAAGTATTTCGTGTCATGTATACATATGTTAATTTTATATAATAAATTTTAGTTTTCTGGGGTATCAAAGTACTATTTGGAAGAATGGGTAATTCCAAATAAAATTATCATTTTCTCCCTCTAGCAAAATCTACCAGTTATTTTTACAAAATAGGATTTCTATCAAGTCAACCTTATTATTAGAACAATAAAAGCTTATTTGAAATCTAAAAACCACAAACCTTCTCCTGACCAGAAAAGGCTTAATTAGTTACTTAGATTGCTAAAATAATTGTATGTAGCTCCAACTATTTTTGTCACCAAAAAAGAAGAAATAGGAAACTTCCCATTTTCATGCTGAGCAAACCTGCTCAGAAATATGGGCAACCTGAAAGGCTGAATTAGCCAACAGCCTCAGTGGCAGTTCAACTGACAAAAGGCAGAATTAAACTAAGGACAAAACAGCCAGTGGCCATTAAAAAGGTTTGATTTGTGTGGATTTCCTTCCTTAAAAAAAAAAAAGAAAACAAACAAATCCAAAACCAACAAAACAACACAACTTTGGATTTAACTGACCACAGCTGAGAACAGATTACTCCTGCAGGTCACACAGCCACGTCGGCTGTTTTACAGTCATGTGCCCTCCAAGTATCAAAGCCCATCTGAGCACAGCATTTGGGAGTCGCTGCTGAAGGGCAGGTTACCTGGGAGGATCTGTGCTCCACTCCAAAGAGGGCAATTCTTCACTGGCAGGACTTTTAACATCAGGCACCCCCGAGAAACGCAAGAGACAATGAAGCCTTTGGAAAGAAGAGAAAATGTTACAATCAGGAAAAAATAACTGTCTTGAAGTATCTTTTCTAAGCAGGGAACTCAATCCACCTGTTTTCAAACACTGGGTCACTCACACCTTTTCCCTCACATCTGAAGTTTTTTTCTCTCAAGCGAACTGAGAATAAAATAGCCCCAAAACCAACATCTGAATCCATTTAACAAGGATGCTACTGTAAACCTGAAGATAGGCAGCTGTGAGTATGTATACAGGTGAATATAAATGATCTGCACTCTTCACTGACATGTACAGCAGCTGTACTTGTAAATATTTATTCTGTTAAGATCTTCAGGAATCAGTGCATGTGAGGGTCGATAGCAAATGTTCTTTAAACCATTTCCAGATACACTCCTGTATGGCAGTGGGCAGGTTAACGCTTCTCCCACGAGGCACGGGGTGTACCTGATGCTGTGGTGCACATCTGAACAGCACCATGTCATGGTACTGGGAAACTTTAATAAAGCAGTTTTAACACAGCTGCTGTCAAAACACTTAGCTTGTACTTATGCTGCAGTTTTCTAGGTTTTTTAATAGCAAACTCAAAAACACTTTAAGAAACATTTCACAAATAAACACTTTGACAAGTGGCCTAATCGCATATCGCCCCAAATTTGCAACACGGGATCATCTAGCCCGGCGCACCCTTTCTCCCCCACAAAAGACTGCGTCTGCAAAGCACAGCGCGGTCCCTACACACCCAGATGAAAGGAGCCCCCAGCTCTCGGGTGAGCACGCAGGTAAGCGAGCAAACACATGAGAAAAACTTTCTGAGCATTGCGGAAACAACATCCAAACCCTCCCCACCCAACGCCGGCCCAGCTGCAGCCTGCCAGCCCCAGCCCGGCCCATGCCGAAACACACTTCCCATTCCACGGGCTCAGGCGGCCAGCAGGGGGGCATTTACCTGTCCCAGCCTCACCAAAGAGTGGAATTACGGCTGTAAAACTGCTCCTCCCTTCCTCCAGCCACTCCTGCCCGACTCCCGCCTCCCCGAGCATCCCCTGCCGGGCTGGGGACCCCGTGTTCTCCCGGGCAGCTCCCGCCCCCGAGCGTGCCGTGCGGGGCCGCGGGCGCATCGCGTGCGAAGCGGCGGTGCCGCTCTGAGTCAGCGCCCGCGCTGCGGCCGGCGGGGAGCGAGAGCGGCGGCGCTGAGCGGTCCCGGCCGGCACGCAAGGCTCCGCTGCCCGCCGAGCCCTCCGCAGCCCTGGGCCGCCCTCCGCAGCCTTGGGCCGCCCTCCGCAGCCCTGTGCCCCCGCCGCGGCCCTGTGCCTCCGCCGCGGCCTTGTGCCCCGCCGCAGCCTTGTGCCCCCGCCGCGACCTTGTGCCCCTCTGTGCTCACTGACCTCACGCCGCCATGCACACACGGCTCCCCGTTTGTGATTTTGGCGTTTATGTTTAAAACCTGGGGAAGCCTCTTTGCCAACAGCCCGTGGGGAAGGGCAGAGCCGTGAGAACGATGTCAGCTCTGGGCCTTAGTGCGCGTCCAGCATCTCAGTCTTCTCCTTCCCCTCGCTGTGCCTGGCCTCAGGGCCCTCACGAGGGGACAAAACTGCGGTACTGAGATGGAATGTCTGCATATGAGTACCAGCCGGAGGTTTCAAATATTTTACAAGATTTTTTCCAGTCCTTGCCTTCTCAAACATCCTACGCTGGACTTTTTTGCTGCCGAAGGACTTGGGCTGTTTGTCGATAAGGGCAGCAACCACTGCGCAAAGCAGCACAGAGCCCGAGGCCTGCGTTCCCTTAGCATTAATTAGTGATTTTTCCAAGCACTAAAGAGGGGAGGGGAGCTGGGAAGTGTAAATGCCATCAGCAATCCGAGCCACTGAAAATGGTATAAAGTACCCACCATAAAAAATATTTCTCACGAAAGGGTGTTTTTTGCAGAAATTGTGAACACGCAAGGGGTTATTCCCCCATCTCAGAAACAACCGAAATCTGACATTTCTTAAGATTTCATGCTAATTGACTCAGTTGAACCAGTTACACCACAAGCTTTTCCAAATCTGCAAAGTGAATTATAATTACTCAACAAGAAAGTTTCTATGACATGAATCTCACTGAAATAAATGCTTCACTTACGAAGCCTCTCCAAGAATCTTGAAGCACTCAGTGAACTCTGCAACAGACATCACTTGGGAAGTGATTTCTGTACATATTTTAAAAAGAAATTACAGATTAACCTGTTTATTCCAATTGAGAATTGAGAGTAGATATGAAATAGTTTATAATTGAGATATAAAATGGCCCACTCATTACATGTCCCATGAATTTGCCCCAGGGTCCTTTTTGGGATAAAAATCTTTTTTTCCTCCACTCAATCCCAGCCTGAATGCTGTCTCAGCTGCTAGTTTCTGTCTTAAAGGATGCTGGTAACATCAGGGGTAGAAGTGGCAGTGTAAGGTTGTCTACTTTGCTCTTTATAAATTTCCCCACGTTGTAGATTGTACAAGAGATTAATGACCTGGAAGGTTTTCGACTTGTTTTTTTCAAGCATAAAAATGCACAGATAACTAACTACATGGTGAGGAGATTGAGTGCAAAACAAACACAGAGATCTCCAGTCTGATTCTGTTTTGCCCATCTGCTAAAATCAGACATCAAACTGCTGTTTCGGATTTGTCTGGCTTGGATTTTATGGAGGTCATATTGCAAAGAAGCAAAAAGATAAAATTAAGTGCACTTAACAAAATGTCAACTTTTTAACGTTTTAGCACAGAATTCATACCAGCTACTGTGCTGCTTCAGCTGTGCAGTGATGCAATACAAAAGTATCACTGGGTTGCATTGGTAAAGTCACACAACAGGCTCAAAATGCTACATGAGGACCCCTATACTTTCCAAACTTTTTCCTACTCTTTTTGGCAGTGCATACAAGTAGACTGAAAAGGCTGAAGTGCCGATTTCCAGGACACCAAATTCTTAAGAGACTATTCAGGCTCTTTCATATACTCATAACTTTCACTCTGTCAGAAAGAAGTGCTTTTGAAATGACAGAAGAACAAGCTCTATTCTGAGAAAATTCAGAGTGCTGAATTATTCCTTGGGACAAGATAGGATTTAAGTTGCAGGGCTTCTCCTTTTAAGTGTTATATTTAGGGAAAAGAAAAAAAAAAGAAAAGATTGAACAGACACATGGGAAACAAGCAGGAAGTCATCCCTGTAGCAAAAGAGCTAAAGCACCTGGCTTTTTCATGTGGTAAATATTCTTATCAGCAAAACAGTCTGCTTTTCTGAATCTCCTCCTAAATACACGTCTATTTACATAATATATGTTTGTTCATTGGGCCAGAGAAGCACAGACTGTCTAAGGAATACAAGCAGCAATGAATAAACCTGCAAAACATCTCTGCAGAACTAGTGAAGCCATCAGACAAGGAAGAACTTGCTGCACTGCATGGAGACCCTGATTTCATTATGATTGCAGATGGTAAAAAGGGGCTGCTGGGACAAAGAAAATAGAAAATGAGGGGATTTTATTCCAGGCAAATGGTTAAGTGCAAGCTTATAGCTGATCTGACTGATAATTAAAGAAACAAAACAAAACAACAAAACAATTGACTTGCTTTAGCCTATGCCACAGTCTCCTGCTGTGATTCAGAAAAAATTCTTACTTGCTTCTGCTTGCTTAATGAGAAAGAAGATAGATTTCTCTGTCCAGTGTGGGCATCTGGGCCGATCAGTTACACAGGACTGACAAGGACCTGCCAGGTCTTCACACACAGTGCCAGGCATAGGCCCCTCTCATAAACTGGTCAAGATAGTGAGAAATTTTCCATTCATTTCTCCTTTGGAAAAGCTCATTCAGTAGCCTCTCTGACCAATGAGATACACTTCCAAAGTCCAGTTTAGGTTGATGGACAGTTTAATTTACTGGCATTTGTTTTCCCAAATTATCTGAAATCTTCAGACACGAGATACAGGTGCACCTATTTGCTTCCCACCTAACCAAGGAGCACAATCAGTTGTGGCTACTCTAAGAGATGCTCAGGTAGTGCCTCCTCCACCCAAGATAAATCTGAGCTTAGTTAAAAGTGCCTGAACACTCAGGGTTTGTTAGCATTGCCTGCAAACACTTCTTGTGAATCACAGCTTCATTCTCAGCAGAATGGGATGCCAAGGCGAGTAAGATTCCATAATGCTCAATACAAAGAACAGACTTAGGGAAGTGTAACAACCAACATTTTTTTTATTAGAGGGGCAATGACCAAGCCATTCAGGAGGAATTAATTTTCAAGATTTGGCTACAGAAGAATCTCTATATTGCCTTCCCCATGCCCAGCTGCTTGATTTTTTTCTGGGGAGGCTTCAGCAGGTGCCTTCAGCAGACGCCTTCCATCTTTTGGTCTTTGAAGGTGGGTTCCCTCTAGTGGCAGTAAGAGGAGCATCGATTCTGTCTCATTGACTGATCTTGGTCCGTAGGGGGGGCCGGGGGAAAGAGGACGCTGGAGGGTGTTACACGCTCACATCAGGAAAGGCTGATTTGTCTTAATTTGGCTAATAGCCTAGGACTCTTGTGTACCACAGGTTCTTTATTTTTTCAATCATCTGTTCAAACATTATACTGATTTTGGTTGCTTCTTTCGCGATTCTCTGTCTGCAGGAGACAACAGAGTATGTGGTAAGACACACAAGTATGTTAGGGCAATTCCCATTTCCTGTAGTTACCGCTCTGCCTGTCACCAGGAGTGCAGAGCTCCTCGGCAGTCCTAGAGGGGCTTTCCTCAGAAGACAGGAATAGGCAGTACCTGTGTGCCATGAGTTACATGAAACTGTCTCTAGAGTGATCATATTTTTCCTTTTGTGAGGAAACTCATTCCCCTACGCTGAGCAAGGCACATGCACAGCTAGAGCCAGGTCTGTCACTGAGTACTCAGCCCCTCACAGCACTGCAGCACCCTTCCAGAGGAGCTGATTGCCCATCAGCCAGCAACCTCCTCTCTCATTACCCGTGGACAGAGAGCAGTATCTGCCATCCCTGTGAACACTGTGTGCAATGTGCCTCCCTGGGAAGAGCTTTCACCAGCAGACCATATCACCTCACCCCTCCTTCCAGCACCTCGCTCCCTTGGTACATCAGGCTTTGGTTGCTGATTAGTTTCCCCTTGGATCTCTCCACAGAGATAGCTGTTCTTTCTCCCACACCTCCCTCTCCCTTTTCACACATGGCTGCGGGAGTGTTAGGACAGAGCTTTCCATACCTGGCCGCAATAACTGTTGGACTCTGGACAGTATCCAACAAGAACTGGCTGACTTTAGGGGACACCTTGTTCACAGCTTCATAGAAGTAAGATGCAATAGTCTCAGGGATGGCCAGCAACTCACGACGGTCTTTCTCAAAGATGGACTTTGACTGCACTTCTGAGAAAAAAGGTAAAAGCCCATGAGGTTTCTCATGTCTCTTGTGTCTCTGGTATCTTCCCCCAGCTGCAGGGGAAGAGATTTGAAATTCTGAGATCCAGAAGCTCTCCCAGAATTTGCTCTACAGCATTCAGCACACTCTCTTCACCCAGTCATGGGTATGTAAGTCATAGACCTTCCACGGCAGAGTATTTGCACCAAGTATGGGCAGTTTCCATGCCAGGTCTCTACTGACTGGTTCCACACTGCCAAGCACTGTGTGCTCATGGTCTTCAACTGAATTATTCGGCTTCATTCCTACTTCATGATGAATGAGAAGCTGTAGAGCTGAGCTTTGTCTCAGATAAACCACAAAGCTTTTCAGACTTACCGGGGAGAGTGGTGCCAAGGAGCAGAATCAGAGCTATCACCAATGCCCTGGATTGCAGCATGGTTTGAGTACCAATTCTGCTCTCTACACAGAGAGACCTGCAGGAATCAGCATACAGTGTTTGGGTTGTTTTCAGAGAAATAAAACGTTGGTTAAACATCAGATTTTTGCAACAAACCTAACCAGTAAACAAAGACAAGAACAGAAAGATCGTGCGCATTTCCTCTGAAGCAGTGAGGAAAAGGCAGTATAAAAATGTTATCTTTTCTTTGTATATTCACAAATATCCACAATAAATACTTTCAGAGCCCAAAGAAATATGGGCAGTTAAAGCTAGTTCTTTTATATGAGAGCTAAAATCCTGTTTCAGCACTGAGCAAACCAGTAAAAGTGCTAGAAGTCAGAATAGGTTTCCAAAATGCTTAAGAATAACTAAAAAATTCATATTGTGGGATTTCTTAGTTTGATTTGTTTTGGTAAATTGCTCTAAAGAACATTGTGCTAGTTAGTACATGACATGCAATGATCATCTTAGTGACCCAGTGATCTGAGTACTTTGTATTGCTTTAGTTGAGGAAAATCCCAAGTAGCTAACTAGGTTCCCTTGTCTTTTTCACTCTGGGATTAATGTAGCAGACAGTAGCCTAAGCAGAACAAGTTCCCAAAAGTGAATGAATGCAAAATTTAGCTTCATGTGACTTCCTTTACTTTTTTCTTTTAAAAAAGTAAGAATTTGCTACTTGGCACACTGAAAATATGACATTATATCTAAACAAGTTTCCAAACACACTGCATTTAAAAAGCTGTTAAGAAATTAAAATTTATTTATGCCCCCAGTTAGGGGGCTGCATAACTCAGAGGAACATGAATGAAACGTTGAACATAGGAATTGCAAAGGCAAAAAAGGCTGAAAGTCTATTATAAATGACTGCTTTGCTAAATCCTGTACCAGGTGGTTACAAGTCAATGTTCTGCCTTATCCCCCAGTAAGGAGATTTCCATCCATTTTTGTTTCCTTCTGCGCAGATTACCTCCAAAAGCTACCGCCCAGTTCACTAGATATTTGCACAGTTGTTCCTTTATTACCCTTCCTTGATTTTTAATCCCCAAGCCAGTTTTTCTCCGTGTACACAAAAGGCAGAAATTTGCTTCCCAGGAGCATAAACAGATGCTCTTACCCACTTTAGAACCTGCAGTCCCTGTGGTGAAGGCACCTGGGAAAAAGTAATGCATCTCCCAACACTGAAATTCTGCAACTCCCACCATGGGCTTGACCCCCCATGAATGTCTTATGGAGCATCCATCACTCAGCTTCAGAGCAGGGGGCCCCAGGTACTCCCACCCTCCTCTATTTCAGCACCATTCCTGGCTACGGAGTGTGAGCAGGGCTCACACTTCAGTTCACAGTAGCAGAAGGGGCACATTAGAAGATACTTCCACTGGTCTATGAGCTAGATACACCAGTCACGAAGTCCAAGCCACCAGAACAGAGTTCAGCTCTTACCTGTCCTGCTTTCTCTCTTTCTCAGGCTGAGGTAGGTGCTCATCTGAGACCCCGGCATTTATGCAGAGCTAATATAGTGGTAGCAAGGGGGCAAAGGTCCTGCTTTGTTTCCCCATTTGCTCTTTTGCAAGCACATCCAGCTCAGTGGGACAGGCAAGAAGCTGTGGAGGACTCTGGACCTGTTATTGAGATTTGGTAATGGAGGGTCAGTCTGACCTGAGCCCAAGAGTTGTGGAAGGCAGCTTCTGGGTCACTGAGCCCCCTACTTTTGCAGGCAGCCATGTCATAGAGGCCCCTTTCATAAACTGACCAAACTTCACATTAATAGCAGCTACAGCTGGGCTAAATTTCGCTCCCACTCTTCCTGTGCTCTAACCCCACTGCTCTGTTGGCACTTACCTGCAGCTGCTACAACCAGTTTCCTCTCCATTTACAGCAAATGCATTAACCAAATGGTGCACAGAGGTGTGCACCCCTCTCACGCTTCTTTCCCCGTGACCAACTCTGCACAGGCTGACTAGATGAGAATACACCTGAGACAGCTGTCAAAACTATGGGTTGGACTTGATGATCTTTAAGGTCTCTTCCAATCTAGTAATTCTGTGAATTCTGTGACCTTACCAGGAAGAACATCCAGCCACAGGATCCCCAGCCCAAGAAACACAGAGCTGTTAGAGTGGATCCAGAGTTGCACAAAAAATTATCATGGGGTTGGAACACCTCTCCCGTGGGGAAAGGCTGAAAGAACTGGGGCTTCAGCCTGGAGAGAAGGCTCCAGGGAGACCTTACTGCAGCTTTTCAATACTTAAAGGGTTCTTATTAGAAACACAAAGACTTGACCGAGGCTTGTATTGACAGGAGAAAGGGAAACATTTAAATTGAAAGTGAATAGATTTAGATTGGATGCAAGGAAGACTTTACTGTGAGGGTGGTGAGACACTGGAACAGGTTGTTCAGAGAAGTTGTGGACACTGGAAGTACTCAAGGCCAGGCTGGATGGGGCTTTGAGCAACATGGTCTAGTGGAAGGTATCCTTGCCTAAGGCAGATGATCTTGTAAGGTCCCTTCCATTCTTAAGATTCTATGGTAACATAGGTTCCCCAGTCCCAGTCAGAAAGTGGCTGTATTGCTGCTGTAGGGAATGTTTTCCCATAGCTCATTTTCCAAGTGCCCCTTGGGTCTCCAGAAGGTCCTGTCACCTGTGTTTGGCACATGTAGACAGGGGCAAGAGACAGAAAGGCTGCAACACTCAACTATAAAGGGCATCAGCTGGGGGAATGGGAGGACACAAATTAAGCCTACTGCATGAGACCAAACAGATTTCCATTCTTATGTTGACCACTTATTTTAGGTGACTCTCACATGTGGGAAGTGCGAAAAGCTCAACAAGTACCTTCATTTATCAACCAAACAAGATTTCTAGAGGACTTTTCCTCTCATAGTGCTCCAAATGCATTAGAACCAAACAGTAAGTGTTCTCATTTTACAGATATGGCAGCCAAGCTACAATGAGTCACATCATTGAAGAGGGCTGCTAGTGGTTTCCACACATTTTCCCACTCTCTAGTTATTTATCCAAATGACCTTTTTTCTTAGAAAAACAAAGAAAAAAAAGTCTCCAAAATAAGGGGGGAAAAATCCTACATACGAACAAACCATTTTGCATTTTTGTCCAAAAAATTAACAACAGAAGATTCTTACTGATGTATAAAAAGGTTAACTCAAGAAATAAGAACAGACACTTTTCAGTTCCACTTCTGGTGCAAACACTAAAAAGCAATTTATGGCCTAGGAAGAACACACTAGAGCAACTGGTTGAAAGTTCTCTTATATTTCAATTATACATTTTACAGTCATCGAAGAGAATCTACACATTTATAATCTTTTACAGCTGGAATAACATTCAAAAGACCAGGGCAAGGCACATCATAGGCATTACACTTAGCAGAAACAGAAATGAGCAGTCATTCCTTGGAGGGGTTAATTTAATATAACCTCAAGTGTTATTTATTTCTTATGTCAGGTCAACAAATGGGAAGCTCTGAGTGGGTGTTTTAAACTGATGTGCTGCAGGAGGTAGTAACAGAAGGGACTCAGCTGCCTGTGTGGTGATTCATGCTGCTGCAGAGCTTTGCATTGTGGCTGTTATCATACAAGGCAAGTTCCCTGGCCCTGAAGTCTGCCTAACTTTAGGCAGTGCTATCATGAATACAATCCCAGAGATAGCAACTGGGTGTTTCAGCGCTTTCTAGTGCCAAATGGGCAGTTGCCAAGATCATATCAATGATTGCACAGAAGTAGCCCTTGCCCCCCATTCCTGGAATGGCATTCCAGAATGGCAGGGTGCTCTGCAAATAAGCAAGAAAGCCAGATATTGCAAGTATTTTCTTAATCAAAGAAAAATTACATGATTCTTTATCTCTCTTGTGCCTCTCTTGTCTGAGGTAGAAAGCAGCTGACTGCAGCATGGGTGACCTTATCTGGCCCTGCGTGGCATGATCACTTACTCATTACATTACTTTAAATTAGGCAAAAACACGTGGCTATGAAGGCACTTTATCTAAGACAGAAGATTCATTATTTGGGGGTAAGGTACATTCCTTGTTCTTCAACAAGAATGGAAGAACAAAAGTTTAGAATAGCAATAACTCCCATAGGTGAAATATTCAGCTTTTTCCATCACAAATGAGGTGACATATGAACATCAGCTCTCTGGAATGGCTAAAAAATGAATCATGAATAAATTGCAATGTAGAAAGAATGAGGCTAGAATATTTCCTGCTGTTATTTCTTTCAGTGTGCTGTACTGGAGCTGCTCAGTTCTCTCTCTCTCTCAAAAAGTCAAAGACCCTGTGAGCTTACAGCAAAAGGGTCCACATTGCACTGTGCGATGCTGCCACAATGGGTTTCATTTATAGCCAATTAAAATCAGAAATAAGCATCTAAAGCTGAGCCTATTTCCTTCCCACTTTTCTGTCTGCTTGAAGCTGTAAAGCACACAAAGAGAGATTTCCTTTGTCGTTATTTCACAGCCCACCAACTGGTGTTTTATGAACCACAGTGGTCTGCAGACCAGTGAGCCTGCTATCATTTCTGCTTCCCTGCTGGATCACCCAATCTACTTCTGTCACAATTTAAGAAATTACAAAATTAACACAGAGATACAATCAATCTTCCCTGAAGAGTTTTGTTTAGTGTTTCTATAAACATGAATAAAGTGACTGAACAGGAAATCAAGTATGATATAGATAAAACCTCGCATATTTCACAGTTTGTGAATTGTGTTCACAATCCACAATTAGTCACCCTAGCTCAATTATGGGGACTAGAGGAACAAATAAAGATGGAGGGCTCCTTCATAGATGTGCATTCGAAAGCACCACCTCTGCTGTTAGCGTGCTCATACTCCAGCAGCTGCTCCTGTTACAGAGAGAGTCATCTTGGTTTCCTTGCAGTGCAAGCAGCTTCCTGCTCTTGGGAAAACTTGCTGGATATGTATTGGCTTGTACACATTTGAATGTGAAGGAGTGAACTCCTACCATGCAACTATCTTGGGA